CCTCAGTGGGAACAGAGGGAGAACAGCCAGTGGAGATGCTGGGACCGCAGGAGGGTCCCGAGAGGAGTTTTGCTCCTTCCCAGCACGGCACATGCCAGGGCAGCCCTCGAGAATTTCCCTGTGGTGTTGTCCTTGCAGTCTCGATGCAGGTCAAGGTTCATTAAGAAGGAAAACAAGGATGATGTTTCTGTTGAGGAGCTCCAACTGAGCAGGATGGATTTGGAAAGCATCAAACGTGTTCCCGTAGGCCCTGCATCTCAGCCGCTTTGTCTCATCTTCCCTCTGTGTCTCTCCCCTGGACCGCTGTCCTGTTGATCCCTGTTGCGTTGAAGTTGCACAGATCGTGCGGTCAAGTTGTCACTCGTCATTGCTAGGAGGGCAGCAAAGCAGCTCGCAGCTTTCACCGAGCTGCCCCAGGTCCACCACTGAGAGCTCTGTGTGTCTGTCCCACAGGCGGCTCCCATCTTCCCTCCACTGCAGCTTTGCAGGGCTGCGGGTAAAGCTGTAATTTCTGCCCTCGTGATGCATCACCATGGCTGCTCTCCAGCTCTGGGACTTTATGTCGTGAGCCATGCTGTGCCTGGCTGGCATGCTGTGCTGCAACAGATGATGTGGCCCTTGGTGGAGTTGGATGCTCAGAGGCATGTTGCTTGTTGGAGTGCAGCATCACAACCTCTCCATCATGTGTGCTTCGCCTTTGTGTTGTCACCTGACCCAAAAAGCAGCATACTTTGGAGAAGCAGGGTGGTGTAGGGGCAGGGCAGAATCTCTAAGGATCAATTCTAGTCAATGATCGTAGCAGTGTTGGTGGGAAGGGATCTTTGGACATGTCAAGTCTAATGTCCCACTCAGAAGAGGACTATTCCCAACAGTAGACCTTATCAGCCATGGCTTTGTCAACAGAACCCTGACAACCTGCAAGGACAGAGATCCTCCCTGTCTGTGGGTATCTGTCCCAGGGTCGCACCACCCTCCTGGAGAATAAATTTTCCTCCATGTGCAGCTTGAACCTCCCGAGCTGCAGCCCCTGGCTGTTGGCCCTCGTTCTGCTCATGACACCAGTCGATGTCCATCCAGCAGGGCTGGCCCTGCAGCACAGGCACAATCTTGGACATCGATCCCATGTGTTACCAGTGACATGATGACTAGGAGCAGGGTCAAACCACCCTCCCCTCCCTGCTCAAGAGAGATATGAGGCGCTGGGTGGGCTGGGGGCGGGGGACTCCTGCCCATACGCAGCCTGCGGGAAGTAAAAGCTCTGGTCACCCTTTCCCATCCCCAATCCTAAAGCAGAACTGGTGTCTGCAGGCCAAAACAGGGCTGCTCCAGCGTTGGGGGGGGACTGTCCCCATGGCGCTCCTTCTCAAAGGGAGGTGATGCCTGCCAGTGGGGCTGCCGTGTGTTCACATGGCGGTGTGGCTGGGTGGGACTCCTACGGCTGGCACGGGGCAGGAGGGATGTGGGGACCTGGCTGGGCTCCAGAAAGAGCCTCAGCAAACCTGGCTGGGAGAAACGCCTCCTCCGAAGCTATGCTTTGGGTTTCTCCTTCGTCAGGGGCCTTAAATCATTGCCTTGGAAAGGAGCATTGCTTTCAAAGACCTGTCTTCCAGGAATGGCTCCCTCAGCCCTTCTGGATGAGTGCCAACATGTTTGCACTGTGTTTAAGGACAAATAGGAAATAATTCAAGGTGCCTTTTCCCCCTTCCCAGCTTAGTCCTGCTGCCACCAGCTACAGACAAGCTCTCAGCCACAGTCCTGAGAAGCAGAGCTGGGCACCCCGAAGCTTCCCCCTGCTCTCAAGCCTTCCCAGGGGCCAGGCACTGAGCAGGCAGGAGCCAGGCAAGGCAGACAGGTCTGTGGGCCCATTGCTGCAATGGGCCTTTCTCCATGCTAGGCTGACGGGTGGTGCAGCATCTCCAGTGTCTCTGCCGAACAAATGCCCAGGTGTAAGGCCAGGAGAGTCAATGGCCTTTTGTGAGCCAGCAGGAAAGGGGAAGAGAAAATGTCTTTAACTTATGCAATAGAAGAAATTGGAGAAGAACTTGAGTAAGGTGCTGGGATTCTTACTTTAGCTCTGTTATCTATAACTATCCATCCACCCATCTGCCTAGTCATCTGTCCATCCATCCATCCATCTCCATAGCCATTCGAACAGCCAACCATCCACACAACCCCACTGCTGTTCATTGTTACTTCCATCCCTCCCTGCCTCCACTGACCCACCCATCCATCCACCCATCCCTTCATCCACATATGCTGCCAGCCAGCCAGCTGCTTATACTCTTATCCCTCCATCCTCCTACACATCTCTGCATCCGCATATATGCCCATCCATCCATCCACTTGCATAGTAATCCATCCTTTCATCTTCATACACTTCCCTCCATCCCATCTGTGCCCGTCCAGCCAGCTGTCCGTCTGTCTGCGATCACACGCATTCATTCTTCGGTCCACCCATCAATCTTCTTCCATGCTTCTGCCTATCTGCCTGTTTATCTGGGCCCATTCCAGCTACCCCTCCTTACACAGATGCCTCAGCTCAGATGTCCACCCCTCTTTCTGCCTGTCAGTATATGTTCTAAGCTTTTTTAAGACACTTGAAACACACTTTTCTGATCAGCATAGTTTCTCAAAGGTCCCCACCCGTGGCTAGTGTCTGAAATGATTCTGAGGCATCTCACCAGCATCTTACTCGCTACAACCCAATTTTTCCTTGTCTGTTCTTAGCACCCCCTTTCCCAGCAGGGGTAGCATCCCCAAAGGTGCTGCTTCCCTGTCTGAAGTAGGTGTTCTGACAGACCATCTGTAGGAGGACTTAGACCTGCCAGGGTCTCCCCCAGGACCAGCTTCGCACTGGAGCTCTCTCCCTTGCAGACTGGCTCAGGCTGTGGGCTTTCACTCAAGGAGTGGCTGGGTCATGACCATGTGGTCCCACCTATCAACAGGACCCAGGAGCTTATGTCTAGAGAGGGAGAAAGGAGCAGGACAAGCATGGGGGTGCTTCTCCCATCCCTCCCCACCACCAGCTGCCTGCAGCCTCCCCGGGCTCACTGGGCAGCTCAGTGTTTTACCTCCCTGGGTGGTGTCTTCTGCTATAGATTCATTTAATCACTATTTTCCCAAAATGTTGACGTCCACAGCATCTGATGGACATGGGTCTCTGTAATTTAATCACACTTTGTGCGAAAAAGCATTTTCTTTTGCTTGTTTTCATTTGCTGCCCCTTAATTATTTTATTAGGAGAAGGAGCAAGTGGTTCTTCTCTATTCGTCCTCTCCATGTCAGTCATCATTGCTTAGGTGTCTATCATGTCTCGGCTCGGTTGTCTTCTTTTACGGATGAAGGGATTGAGTCTGTTAAGCATCCTTACACGGGGGCTGCCGGCTGCCAGCCTTTGCTCTTCCCCTTTTTCTCTCTCTGCTCTGTTTTCAGCTGAACTGTACTCCTAATGGTACGGGGACAGATTTGTGCATGGCTTTTACAGTACAGTGCTTTCCATTTTCTTCTCAATCCCTTTCTGAATAATTCCTAGCATTGAGTTTGTGTATTTGGTCACCACTGAGCTGATGTTTTTGGGGAAGTGAGCACAGTAACTCCAAGATATGTCTCCATGGAGGCTGCAGCTCATTTGGAGCCATGAGTGGTAGGAGAAGCAAGGCTTGATTTTCCTTGTGTGCATCCCTGTGCATTTATTGACATTATGTTATCACCTGGTGGGTCTGTACCGTGATGTCCTTCTGCAGCGCTTTTGCACCCAGCTGTAATTTGGCTGCCCTGCCTCAGCAGCACACTGTCCCCTCTCACTGCCTCGACTCCTTTTTCCCCATGAGTTATGAGAGTGTTGGGCAGCTCTGATCCAGCTCTGATCTCTGTCGAACTTCACCATGACATGTTCTACTGCCACATCTGACCGCTTGTTCTCACCTTTGGTCTCCTGACCTTTAGCTGCTATAAATCCTTGCAAGGACTTTCCTCGTGTGTCAGGTCTGCTTGGTTTCCTTGGGAGGCACCTTGTCAAATGTGTTTTTGAAACCCAGGAATATCTTGAGAACCAAAGAGCCCTTGTCTATGCACAAAGGCTTGATGAAGCCTTGAAGGAACCTCATCCTCTGCTCATCCCCCTGTCCTGCTTCACCCCCGTGTCATGCACACACACACATGGTTTTATCCTTGCCAGATGCAGATCAGCACAGCCCGTGTAGCAACACGGGAAAGATTCAGTTGCTAAGGATCATTAATGAATGTCAGCTCAAGCTCCTGTCCAGAAACCTGAGAAAATTCAATTAGGCAGCTGGTGCCCAATGAGCTGTATTGCCCCACTCGCAAGATGCTAAATCAAACAGCTCAGCAAGGCATCATGTTGTTGTAGAGAGAGAAGAAAAGCCAGGTGGGGAGATACACAGCATAGCATGCATCAAGCAGCTGCCCCTTTCCAAAGCTCAGTATAGTTAGGTTGCAATCCTTCCACCTGATTTCCTGGGCAGGGAATTGCAAGGACAGCTGCCTGCTTCCCACCTCTGCTAGTAAATAACTTGAGTTTGCTGGTGACAAGTCCTGGAGCTCTGTCTCGTCTCTGCTGGGAATTTCTGATGTGTGCATTTGGTTTGCATCTTGCAACAAGCCACGTAGATATAAGAGTGGCAATGACTTGCTGGTGTGAGCATCTGTCTGTGCTGTGGGACATTTGGCTGGTGCTGGTGCAGCCCTGACATATCTCCTCTAAGGTAAAGGTTGGAGGAAAGCATCCCGTGAGGTGGAGGTGGTCCATGAGTCCTAATCCCCTGGTCCTTACCAGCTGATTCACTCTGGTCTAAAGTTAAAATAAATCTTTATCAGAGCCAAGAGGAGAACTTGGGCTTCCCTGGCCACCAACACAGTGTCACTCCATGCCCCAGTCCTTCCCTCACTACCTGTACAAGTGATGGTAAGACGCTATTTCCAAGGCAGCCCTGCCCACGGGGCTCCGAGCTCACCTGTTTTTCTCCTCTTCCTCCCCACAGACAGCCACATCCAGTATGAGCGGGTAGGCGCAGATGTGACCATGAAGTGTGGCTCCATGGACTGGGACGCAGCTGTGACCTGGACGGCTAATGGCACTGACATCGATGAGTCCCACCTGAACGGATCCTACCTGATCCTGAAGAATGTTGACCTGACGCAGAGCGGCCAGTACTCCTGCTACGAGGGCTCCTCCTGGCACCTCAAATACCAGACCTACCTGAGGGTGGGAAGTGAGTACCCTGGCATGTGACACTGGAGGGGACAGAGCCATGCTCTCTGCTCCCATATTGACCCCTCACAGCCCCCTCCGGCCATGCCAACTCCTGTACTATCCACACATACGGTTGCCTGCTGCACCCCACCATACAAGCTCCCCATGGTGTACTAATCCCAGCAGCAGGATGCTGGAATCAGCCCCTCCTGCCCCAAACTTTGCATCAAAGCTGGTAGGTTAAATGATGCCCCAGGAATAATCTGGGAATGGATGTTGTTTCTCTATCCAGCCCAGTGCCATGACCACCATCTCTACAGGTGGAAAGAGTTGGAGCTGAGCTGTCAGAGGGGATTGCATCTGGGAAGGAGAAGTCCTGGCTGGGGTTACTGCAACATGGTTGTTTCAGAGAAGCAGCTAAAAGGTGGTGGCAGTTGGTGCGTGTTTGCAGAGCCCCTGTGTGCAGGCATGTTGGAGGACAGCTGCACATTTCCCAGGATTTTGCATATCTTAAGCACGAGATGCGCTGATTCACAGGTCTCGGTGCGGGCGTTAAGAGCTGTGCTGTATTTCACGCAATGCTGAGAGCTGATAGCAGCTGTGTGTTGTGGGCTGCTGTGTTTGTACAGCTGATAGGAACTGTGTGTTTTGCAGTACAGCGTCTGCAACCGGCAGCGGTGGGTGTCTGGGAGCACCAGCCGGCGTAGCTGGCTGTGGGATGGTGACTGCTGCCGAGGACGCTGCGAGGCACCAGCTGCGAGCCCACCAGCTGGGAATGCCTCATGTAGGTGGCCGTACGTTCCCAGGTTTGGAGGACATGGCAGAGCCCTTGCCTGCTGCTTGTCTCACCTTCTGCACCCTGCATCAGAGCCAGGGTGGCGTTTCTATCCTAGACCAGGGTCCAGGGGCAGAGGGTTGCAGGAGGACGAGCCATGGCGTGCGTAAGCCCTGCAAATCGGGCAGAAGGGGCTCACTGCACCTGTAGGTCAGACTGAAGAAATCCACATTTCAGGGATGCTGCACAGTGTCCAACTCATGGTTTAGGGTCTGCTGGGAGGGATCCTAGCACGTGGGCCAAGGGGAAGGAGTGCTGGAAGGAGCTGAAAGGCAATGTGAAAAGCAGGCGAGGGGGGAGCAGTCAGCGTAAGGCAGGGGGTACAGCAGTGAATAGGTTTCGGGGACGGGAGCACGGCAGGCAAAAATGCAGCGGCAGATGAGTGAGGGGCCTCTCAGCCGCACTGTCGAGGTGAGGAGGTGCTCACGGGTAGTTCAGAGGCAGGGAGAGCAGGAGCTGGGTGCAGTGCAGGCAGCAGCAGGAGGAGCGTGGCTCCTCTGCTTGGGCATGTGCTCGCCAGATCCCATCTGGGGAGAGGTCCCAGGCGTGCCAGTCCACGGTGGGCTGCAGCCCAGCTCTGGAGGAAATGAGGGGACTGGGGAGGGGGCTGCAGCCTCCAACTGCCTCCTCTGCAGCTGTGGCATCGCTGTGACTTTGCAATGGCTCTTCCATCTGCTAAGCACCTCGCTAATAGTAATCCCTGTCAATCCGCTCAGGGACCCGTGGGAATTGCTCAGCGTTAGAGCCCAAATCCTGCTGTTTCCTATTACCGTGTGTTCCCATTTGCTGGCGGCTCACAGCCCCCATGAGCACCAGACAGCTGAGGAGCCCGGTCAGACACCACAGGGGCCAGCAGCCCCGGGAGAGAGGGCGACAAATAAATAAGCGAATACCCGGTGTTGTTAATGCAATTAAGCATGCAAAGAACTAATCAGGTGAGACGCTTTTAGTGGTAATTAATTTAATTGCCTGGATTTTAATTTAACGTTCTCCATGAGGTTTCTTTTCTCAGTGCTGTCACCCTCAGCCCCTGCCTGCAACGCCCACAACTTTCTTGGCTCTGCAGGGCGTGATCGATTCCCTGGAGGTGCGCAGGCTGCTGTGGGTTTGGGAGCATCCTAGGAGGGGATGGGGATCGGGATGGAGATGGGCATGGGCATGGGCGTGGGCGTGGGCATGGGCATGATGGTGATGGAGGTGGAGGTGGAGATGGAGATAGGCAGCTCACGGGAGGTTTGCAGCATGGCCTTGTGGCAGCATCCCTGCTGCAGCTGAGTGCAATTGAAGCCGTCACCTGGGATCTGAGGGATCCCAAACCTGGGATTTTGGGCACCCAAACCTGAGATTTGAGGGATCTTGGACTCATTTAACAGGAAGTTAAATTAAAACAGGCCTGTGCCTGCATTTTCCGCTCTTATTGGGGCAACAAAAAAGATGATGGCACTGGGAATGAGGGTCCGGGAGCTGCACAGATCTGGGGACCTTATTAAATAAATGACAGCACCTGGAGTGTTCCAAGCAAGGCAGAGGCACTTCCAGGGCAGACAACGCCACAGGAAGGATGTGGGGAAAGAACGGAGCGGCGGCAAGGACCGGGAAAGGGTGTCAATTAGCAAAGCAAGCTCCGTTGTGGGGGTCAGCGAGCACAGGGATAAAGGAGGACCTGCCAGGAGTCAAGCTGAGCGAGACCTTGCAGAGGAAATGAAAAGAGGGGTTAGCCATATAAATACAGAGCAAACAAGGAGAGAAGAGCAGAGCTGGCTATGCAGCCAGGTTTCAGGGGAGATTAAAGGTAAGCTTGGCAAAGCCCGGTACCGAATGAACCCCGCCGGGTCTAAGCAGCGATGCTGAAAGCGAGGGCAGCGCAAGCTGGGGGAGAGGAGGGAGGATAAAACCTGGAGACAGTCCTCCACCATGGACACACCTTCAAAGAAAATGATGCATTGAAGGCTTGGGGAGCGCCTCATCTTCAGGTGAGGACATCTCCTGTTTATTAGCAAGGCTCATTAGCGGCTAAGTTATTGGCGGTACCCAGTGCGATGGGGAAAGGCGACATGTCTCCTGTGCTTGAGAGAAGGGAAAATCCTGATCAGACAGCCTGACCCCACAGCACATCAGGGCCGTGAAGCACGCTTGGAAGAGGGAGCAATTAAAGACGTGGAGACAAATGGAAAATGGGAGAAAAATATAAGGGAAACTTGCCAGGGATATATCACACCAGATTAACCTGATAGCTCTCTTTGATAAGGGAACTGATTTCCTAAGCCCAGAAATGTGGTCGATGTAATCTGTCTTGACTTCAGTGAAGTATTTGCTATGATGCCACATGGGAAATTATGAGTTAAACCAGAGAAAATGTGAATTAGTATGAGAGTTGGAACATGGCTTAGGAAACGGCTAAAGGGGATCAGATTGTGCTGAAAGGGGAGCTGCTGGGAGGGATGGGGGAGCTTCAGCATTGGCCTTCAGACCACTCTTGGTGGTGTTTCCCATAATGGCTCTGGCCCAGGAGGAGCAGGGAGCTCCAGTGGGACATGCCAGTGGCTGTAGAGGGACCTCAGGGTTTTTGGGGTAGGGATGTCACGCTGGAGGGGCTAGGGTGCTGCATAAAGAAGCATAAAGAAGGTGTCTCATCAATGCACTTCAGCAGATGGGCAGGAGGACATGGGTAGCTCAGCTGGGCTTTGGGGTGGGGTTTGACACCCAGGTCCACATCGTGGGGGATACGTCCAGGAGCCCAGCAGCACCCAGGCGAGTGCAGATGGCTGGGGGTAACTGAGCTGTCTTGTGCCCTGCAGAGATGGTGCACGTGCAAGGAGGGGGGACATGTCTTGTCCCCAGATGGGGACACTGGTGCACATGCAGTGAGGGCAGCATGCATCCAGGGATGGGGTGACCAGGCATGGAGAGCCTACCTCAGAGAGGAGGAAGGGCCCACAGGCTTGCTTATCCCTAAGGGTCCCAGACCACGCATCTCCAGGGTGTAAATCATCCTGAGCACAAACCCAGCGGAAGGCAGCACTTCTCCAGGGCAGCCTCTTCCAGGGGACTTCGAGCAGCGACATGTTGCTCTGCCTCCTTTTTTCAGGCAGCTGAGCATGGGGTGAAGCACAGGAGAGTAACCAGGATGTTCTGTGTGTATCTTCAATGGATCATCTGCCTTGCAGCCTGGACAGCGGCAGATGCCCAAGCGTGGCCAGCAGCAGCAGGCGATGGGACCGGAGTTTTTTACGTGCCGGGCATCCTGGAGCTGAGGCTGGGGCTGAGCACTGGGAGCAGGCAGGAGGGAGAGGAAGGCTCCGGGTACCAGGAGCACAGCGCTGGGCTCCCGGGTGCCCCCATGAGCCACAGCTCTGCGTTTGGAAACGCGCGGCTGGAGGGCCCGGGGATGGATATAACAAAGACGTTGGGAAATAATGCGCTCTTGAGGTTTGGCACACGGCTCTGTGCATTACAGAATGTTATAAAAATACTGCTAATGGGCCAGAGAGGAGTGGAAACGCGCGGCGGAAAGGCTGCCAGAAGCTGGAGAACGCACATGGGAGCGGGGAGGCCTTATGTGCAAAGAGGGGAGGGAGGAAGGCAGCTAGGGCGGGCGTCCGTCCTTCCGCTTCCATCCCTCTGTCCGTTTCTAACCTGCTGATCTCCATCCTGACCTGGCGGCTCTGCCCGTTTGCACCTCTCCTTTTGCCCCTCTGCCCAGCTTTGGGGATGCCCAAGCGATCCGGGCTGTGCCGCTGCCCACTGCCTAACAGGGCTGCTGCCAGGTGGGCTGGGATGCCCACAGGGACGGGGGTCTGTGTGAGAGAAAATACAGCAAAATCCCCTCCAGCAGCAGGGACACAGGTCAGGATGCAGGCAGTGGAGTTGTCCTCCGCATTGCAGTCGTGGCACAGGGGCTCGTAGCCCAGCACTAGCCCGAGCCCTGCCCATGGGCATCACTGCCTTCCAGGTGATGGTGAGAAAGGGACTGGCAGAGGGCAAGCAGCTCTGGGCTGGCCTCCTTCCTCCATGTCTGTCACTGCAGTGGCTGGCGAGAGAAAGGGGAAAAAACATGCGGTTTGACGGAAAACGACATGGAAAAACAACCAAATTAACAGAAAAACAAACAAAGCAAAACCAGAGAGAAGGAGGGGGGAAGGGGCAAAGCAACAGGAACCACATGTGAGTGGGGAGGTCGGGAG